TTTGCCTGCCTGTGGTCATTCTATTTATCTGTTTAATAAGTAAATACTGACTTATTATTGAAGTTTGTTTGCCACTACAATTATTTTTTGAATATGAGTTACCTATTTTGGCAGTCAACACTCAGGTAATATACCAATGGAAAAAATCTTGTAGTAATTTTCCCTTGAATATAATATTTGCAATTTAATCCGGTCTCGAGTGTTCCACCTTTTTCTTGTAGAATGTAATATTCATTTCTCTTACATTACAATAACCTTAAAAAAATATTTAATAATGTACCTATAACTAAACAGGAATACTTTGTTTCTTTAAAGTTTTTTTTTTGTTACTTAGCCTTACTTCATTTAGAACTTCTTCCTCAAAGGGTAGGGGTGCTGTTAAGGTGTATAAAAAGGGTAGAAACTTTTCTATTGTTTTTCCTGTTCTTAATGGAATGTCTTTTACTTATTTGCTAGATTTATATTCCATGGACTAGAACCTGAGTCTCCTGATTCATAGTCCAACTTTGTAACCATTACAGCACAATAGCTTGCTGAAGCATTTTATGAAACATTCTGTTGATTTTAAGTTTTTATATAGATTTAAATGATTTTGCCTTATTTTAATATTATAAAAATCTCAACCAGACCATACAATAAATTAAAACCTCTAATAATGATAAAAACTTTTGGACAGTGTGTATGTTTTGCTGAAGATTTAGCAGATACGAATATTTACAGAAATGTGTACACTACAGAGCTAATCTTTTACTGGGTTTCAGGAATCAGAGGAAGACGTTCCAGATGTTAGTGGAAAACAAATTCTATGAATGGCTAGTCCACACAGGCAGTCGTCAACAGCTTGATAGCTTGGTACTTCCTGCTGCAGGATCTAAACAGGCAGCAGGATAGGAGAACTCTTGAAGCAACCAAGTGGTTAGGTGAGTTCAAAGGTCACATTTATGCTGTAGATGTAAAAACACTCTATTGTAATTTAATACAGTATGAACATTATTGTTCTGTAAATACACACACACACACACACACACGCACACAAATAAATAAATAATGGTCGCTGGCCAGAATTGCAGACAAAAACACATTAAAAATAACAATAAAGTAAAAACAAAACTAAATAAAATATTACAATTGGTGGTGGGTTTGTCAGTGGATAGTCAAAGTCTGCCTAATTTTACAGGCACTATAATGAAATTTAGCTACATTCAAGGAGACTGAATCATACTGATCTGATAACAGCTGTACAAAAAAGATCAGAATTTCCTGGGTGTTTTACCAGGTAAGCAGTTATAAGTCCTTATAGAGGGTACAGCATAGCAGGGCATGAGCTAGTTTTGTCAAATTGTACTCTAAGGTCTAAAGCTAATCTGATCTCAGGCTATGGTGATATAGGTTAGGAATGTGCTTCTAGAAGTATAGTTATATTTGACATTGTAGGATATGTGTAATCAATGTAATCTCTAATTGGTAGAATTAAAAAAAAAACTACCAATTAAAGATTGAATTGATTATAAATATCTTAGTTATCTCTTCTTAGGATTTTTTTTAAAATCCTGACTTCCTTTTTCTTATCATAAATAAAATGTGTGATATTATTTTCATCACATTAAATATAACAGGCATTCTCTATTTTTTCTTAAATATGGATATCTCAGAAGAAAAACAAATTATGGTCTTCGCGTCCATAATCCCCCCCCCCAATTTTTTCATAAATGTTCTAGTTACAGTAATAAAGTTACAGGCATCGTGTTCTTATAGTTGTTTTATTAATTAATTTTACCGGTTCCTATTTATGCTATATAACTATGCCTCAAACAACTTTAACTTTTTTCTGTCAAACCGTTTCCTTTTCAAAACTGTTATCACTTAGCAAAGTCTTACTTAAGCAATTTCTGTACCTCATCTGCTATACTTTCTGCTTCTGGTTTATTGACTATCCTAGTATCATTCTTTTATCATTATGTATAATCCATTGTAACCATGATGACCAAGGGCTTTGTCTCTTCGGTATTCTGTACAGTGCTAACATTCAGTTACTGCTTAATATATGTAAGATTACTGTTTAGAAATGAATGGCAAACTAAGCTGGGCACTTTACTCAGTAATTATATTATTATTATGTGTTATGTGTTTATGATTGAAACTATCAAATGAACTGCTACTACTGTGTGATTGCAATGTGATGAGACTGTTGATTCAACAACTAAATCTCTGTTTTGTTACAGTTCTGGAGATGCACTGTGCCAAGTGAAAAGTGTGTTCCTCACAATAAACTGGGGCCAAGCTGATTAAAAGCTCTTACAACTTTCCTAATGAATTTAGAAACATGGATTTGCTTAGTGGCGTTATCAAGAAGGAAATGGACTTTACTGCATATTTCACAGTGTGTGGTATCATCACTTGCTCTGGATCTTTATAGGAAACGAGTCAGGATCTTGCTATTAACACTTTAGAGCAAAATTTAGGCTCCTAGCATGCTTAAATGTGCAGGAAAAGGAGTTGCTTTCTTGATGTAAAGATAGTGGTGTTCTGGCTGCTGGGTGAATTATTTCTCTGTTATTAATTAAACATTGTTTATATTAATGTTTCTAGTTATGTTTTTATATCAGTTGTTTAGCACTTCATCTATGAAATTTAATTAAATTGACACAATGATATTTTGTGTCTTGTTTCCTTTTTTCAGATTTGATGACATAATAACACTTATTACCATCCATATACTTTGGGAAAAGGTTCTTGGAGACCATGGATTGAATTCAGACTTAAAGGAGACCCATTGAACTGTACAGATTTAAGTTAGTCATTACAAACCAGTCAGAACTAAGTTGATTTCAGTAGTCAACTCTTAATATGACTAAGTTGTTTCTTCCTCTTTGAAAGAAATAGGCAGATCTAGGGATAATTTTTTCTTCATTTTTTGCAACCCTAGAATCTCAGATCAGCCACTGAAGCTGGCAGATGGGAGTTTCAAGGCAGAAAAAAAGGAGTACTTCTATGGGGGAGGGTCTGATTTTTGAAAAAAATTGTGTATAAATTGTTCTGAGAGACAACTAGATGCCTCTTCAGTGTTCACAAGCAGAAAAAGGAAACATACCCTTCTCCCCCTGTTGTTCTCCTGAAACTCCCCCCTGCAGCATTATGGTCTCAACCCACAGGTAATACTGAATCTTCAAGACTTCTATACCTTGATAGACTTATGTGCAATGCATTTATCTAACCTCTTTTTAAAGTCATTGTCCATCTCTATGACTTATGGCAATGAATTCCGAAAGTTAATTATGCATCACATAGGAAATGTTTTCTTTTGCTTGTTCTAAATCTCCTTCCAATCACCTGTATTGGATGGCTTGTACTCCTAGTGTATTAGAGTGGGAAGAATCTGCTTTCTTCATATGCTATGCATGATTTAATATTTACATGATTTTATATGTTTCCCCTTAGTTGTCTTCTTTCCAAGAGTGCTAAACATTCCAGCCTTTTCTTGTAAGAAAATAAACAAGGTTGCCCTTTACTGGACTTTTCCAGTTTTGTTACATCCTTTTTCAAATGTAAGACCAGAACAGTATATTGCAGAAGTTGATGTACAGTAAATACACATGATAGCATTTTTATTTTCTGTCCCTTTTGTAATGATCTTAGTATGGAATTTTCTTTCTTACAATTACGTATGCTGGCAATACACAGTATGCAACTCAGAGGTGATGGAATGTGGGCACCAGTATGTTGATTTGCAAGTTAATCTCTAGGTTAAGGACCCTAGCTTGCATTGAATGGTGTGAACACGCTCAGGTAAAACTTGGTTTTTGTTGTTTTATGGCTTACTCCTACCTTTGCCTAGTGAGTAGAGAGAAAGAAAGATGAGCCATATCCACTGTCCCCATGCCTTCTTGGACTATCCTGGATCTTGTTGAACATTTCTAGAACATGGCCCACCTATTGTCCTTGGTCAGACCCCATAAGCAGTATCCTTAGACACTCATACTGAAATCCTTGCTTATACAATCTTAAATTAAAAAATGGCAGGCTTGGAAAGATCCTGTGATCAATCCCAAAACCTATATAACATCAGTTTTAGATATACAGGTAGTCCTCCTTTAGCAACTGTTCGCAGTTACAATGGTGATGAAAAAGTAACTTTGTGACCGCTCTTTGCATTTATGACCTTTGCAGGTCTGTAAAACAAAGGAAAGCTGAAGTAAGCACAATGGCGGTTTCACTTAGTGCCCACTTAATTTAACACTGAGTCAATGGTCCTAATTGTGGTCGCTAAATGAGTACTACCTGTATTTTCTCAAAATGGAATGCATAAATCAAGTCTTTATGGAGATTACCGGCTACAAACAGTATTTTCCTGAGCTATTCAAGAAGTATTTTGGTTAGCCAATTCTACAACAAAAGACCAAACAGAGTACTTGTGGGCCATTTGTAGCTTTTTCCTTGAAAGTTTGCAAACACATAAAACGCAAAAGCTAGGGAGATATTTTAGTCAATGGCAGGTGGTATTACTGCAGTTAAAACTATTGCTCCATAAAGTAATAGGCTCACCAGGTTACTTTATTCATCCATGCATGGTTCCCATGTTTTTTGGCATTATGCTCCACTGAAGCTTCCTGTAGTTGAATTCATTATTATATGTAATCAAAACAGGGGTGGGAACTGTGTCACCATCACTCAACAGGAGCTGCAAGCACTTTTTATTTTGAGTATTTTTGACAGGAGTGTGGAGTTCTGACTCAGCAATGCATTCACAAGCTAATGCATTAGAATGAAGAAAAAGAAAGGGAGAAATGAAGCAGTGAAGCCTGCTTTTATTTTATAATCCTCTTCGTTTTTCTAGAACTTCTGAATAGCCCCAGAATCACTGAGTCAATTTTGGGATCCCATTTTCATGACAAAGCAAACATTTATCCTGAAAAATGCACTCATTATAAAATGAGGCTTCCTGGTTTGAGCTCTTGCAGTTACTTCTAGGCTCTTTAGGAATATTGCACCCAACGTTGATCATGTATAAAACTGGAAGCAGGGTAAGTTATGGTTTTAGGATATCTTTCTTCTGTCCTTTAGCTTGTAAGAAGATAACATCTCAAGATGCAACCTGCTGGAGAGCTTGGCAGAACTGAAATAAAAAGCAGAGTAGAAGAGGAGGATGCGTCCCATCTTTTAGAAAGCAAATTGTTAGGGAATAAATGAATGCCTGAAACTCAGTGGATTTTCCTAGCTTTCGTCGAAACAGCTACTATTTTGTCAAATTAAGGTCTATCCGTATTTGAAGATGGCATCGTTAAGAGTATCAGATACACCCTACATTTTGATGTTTGTTTGCTTCTTCATTCTGTAGAAGATAAGATACAGAGATTCTGAGAGTTACTGAGGTGATCTTGACATGCAGATTTATTCTTGCATTAGGATCAATAATATTGCACAGAAGATGTGCCTCATCTTGACAAAGCATGTTCCACATACCATGTGGAGAATAAGTATTTCCAGCTGTTCCATTCATATATTCTTTTTATAAGTTATAGAAGGTAAATATAACCAGACGATCACTTGAATCTGTAGTGCCATCCAGGTACAGATAATATTTCCTTCACATTACTCAACAGGTAGAACTGTTTACTGAGCAAGTTCAGGATTAGAATCTCAGCAGGGAAGTTCATAATTATCCAGGGTTTACTATGAGTGAGAATAAATGAACAAAGAAGGAAGGTTTCCTTGGTGCTTTGGATTTTGGGGTTGATTTACAAAAACTGTACCTCTGAACAGCTCCTTGGGAATGGATCACCTTAAACTTATAAAAACGATGTGTTCTGAGCAATTAATTGAAGCTGTTTTTTGAAACTGTATCACCCAATTTGAAGTAGAGAAGTACCTAGCTGAATGCTTTCCCATGTTTTGCTTTAAATAAAATGCCATGAAGAGGCTCAAGTTTCACTATCATTCTGACATGCAAGTTGAAAGCTTTTCAAAATATGTGCAGGGGGTTGCTGGTGACTTGAGGATACTTTCTGTCTGTTAACTTTATTTTTGTAAGTTTTTTACTGTTTTTATGATTTTTATTTGTGAGCCACCTAGAGTCACCTGTATAATGAGATGGGTGGTGTATAACTTTGATTTATAGATAAAACAACTAACTAAATAAAAATAATATCAATAATAACAAGAACAAACAACAATAATAGATCACATCTATATCTTGCATTTCTTCTGGAAGATCAAGTGTTGTACATGGATATTTTCCTCATTTTATCCCCTTAACAACAACCCTAAGAGAGAGATGGGTTGAGAGATGATGACTGCTCCAAAGTCACCCAGTGAACTCATTGAAGCTCATAGAAGCTGTCTGGTCCCAATCCTTAACCTAAGCCACCATATTACACTGCTTTCTTACTTCTGTTCTTACCCAAATGGAAAACAACAAATGGAGAGCCCTTCTTCATTCGCTATTAATAGCATTACCTGGAATAACCTTGCAAACCCAATTTTACCCTCTGTCCCCATGACACTGGTCTTATTTTGTTCCCAAGCCATAATTCAAGCATTGTATCTTACTGTTCTTCATACTGCAAAATGCCAGGCAGGCCCAAACACACAGAGTAGCAAAATGTCAGGACAAGGCATCATTATGCCAGCAAAGTGAGGTGGCTCCATTCTTTTAACATCCCTTCGCCTATTGTTTTCTGTTTTAGTTTGGTTTTTTATATTTTTTATGCTTTTTAATGTATTTATTGACTGTTCTTTAACCCTGTTGTACGCAGGCCAGAGTAGCTTGAAAAAGTGAGACGGGCAGCTAATAAATTATGCAAATAAATAAATAAATAAAGTGGAGATCCATAAAACTGCATCCTGTGGAAAGACTCAAAGGAGAGAAAGAGAGAATCCCTGCACCATGCCTTTTATTGGTAGTGCTACGAGCTGTTCATCCAGAAGCCCTGTCAATCATTTCACCAAAACTGGATGAAGCTCTAGCTGGATGATGCCATTATGAATCTCTTGATTACTGTAATTGAGGATAACCAGCACTTCCCATGGCAGTTGGTCATATCTTTTAATAAAAAGAATAGGGGAATCTTCTGTCAGTTTGGGCATTGTCTTGGCATATAAATATCAGTGGTTAGGTGGGGTTTTCCCCCCTATTTTAAAAAGCAACATAAATTTAACATATATTCCCCTATACTGGAGGTTTAATGCCTGGGGTCAAAAGATAATTGGGTATCATCAGCAACTTTGGCATATAGTTATCCAAAGCAGGCTACAATTGCTCCTGTGCAACTCCCATTAACGTTTAGAGGCAAGAATTGCTCTGGGTGGTGCTGGTCTGCTACAGAGTTCAGACAAACTCTCTAGGATTCTACAGAAATATATTTCTCTCTCCTTTATCTGTGTTTCAGATCACTTTCTATGAAGGCAAGAACTTCCAAGGATGCCGCTATGAGTCTGATAGGGATTGTTTGGATTTCCACACTGACTTGAGCCGCTGCAATTCCATCCGTGTAGAAAACGGTGCCTGGGTTGTTTACGAGCAGCCAAACTTTGCAGGAAACATGTATGTTTTGACTCATGGAGAATATCCTGAGTATCATTCCTGGATGGGCCTGAATGACAGAGTCAGCTCCTGCAAATCCATTCAGTTGGTGAGTAGAATAGTTTTTTACTTCAGGTCAACAATCTTTCCATTTCAGAAATATAGCTCTTCTTACTATGTTATTTCACTTCCCGTAAACTGCCCATGAAAGAATGTAGACCTGGCCTTGGGAAGAGGAAGGGGGGCAGTGAACTCACAAGCGAGGAGAAAAGATCACTAGTCCTGAGAAAAAGGAAAGCCTTAGAAACTCGGAATAATTCAATACAAAAGTGTTGTGTGTGTGTATACAAATATAGAAACATACAAACATACAAACACACACACTTATGTACACACACACTCACATATGTACATACATGCACACACACACATGCATACACATACACACATTTTGGCATAGAAAATTTGTAATTATACATAATATACCACATATCATTGATATACAATAGTTTATGTTCAGCACTAACTGCTTTTATACCCAGAATGTCGTTCCATTGTCTGACAGGTCAATAGTTCCAAGTAAAGGACATCCTTGAGAAGTTACACAAGACATCTTGCTAGATAAAGAAAGAATTCTATTTGTAATAATCCTAGCTGAGAGATGAAAATCACATTGTAGTTTGGCTAATAGAAAAGGAAGTTATATTTGATGAATGAATGAAACAGAAAAAAAAATGAATACATTGAATAAGAAAATTAAAAATGGTAAAAGACTTTAAAAAAGCAAAATAAAAATGTCAGAAAATACCAAAAGAGGAACCAAATAACTAATTTTACCAGATTTCCAGAAGATATATCCTGAAAATAAAGTATAGAATTCCCCCAAAGTCCAGGAGTACCATCTCCTTCTTGATTTAGCGAACTAATGGCAGGGAAGGGATTTCCATTAAATCCAAATGTTTGCCAAATGGTGAGTGGGATTTTTGAGGCCCAAAACACACACTTGTACTGTACATGAGAAAATCTACTTTAATGATAGACATCTGGAAAAGTTCTAGATTTTGGTTGGACAACTGATTGGTTTGAAGAAAGTGACCCAATTTTAATTGAATCTAGGAAACGTGTTGCTTCTGTATGCTTATCTCCCTAAAATTACAAAGTGTATAGTTTGCAGTTGATGCATGTTTTTCAACATTGTTGGACAACACAACTTGCCCGCACTGACTGGCATTCATCTGTGCAATCCACTGGTGTTTGCAGAAAGTGATGCTGAGATTCTCCCTTTTCTGATTTTTCACCCTGCTGCTGTTGATATTCATATTTAAAGGTCTGAGTGTCCTTGGGAACCAAATGCCAAGACTTATTGGCATTGTAAATTTGTGACATCAATTTGTTTATATAAACTTTTCTTGAATGGTTCTGTTTCTTCTGTTGGTGTACTTAAAGCTTCACTTGTTAACAGTTCCATGACATTTACAAAACTGCAAAGCTATTCATCACTGGCTTTGAAACTTATTCTCATGTGGTCTGCTATTATGCTAGCTGCTGATCTTAGTCTCACTGCCTCGTGAATGTTGCTTCACTAAGTGCTGTTTTCTGTGCCATTTTCATTTGTTTTCTTGCTCTGTTTTACTAATAGCATTTATATCTTAAGCTTATCTTTTGGTTTATGAGCATCTGACAGCTTATTTTTACACCACACTAATCATAAACATGTGCAATTGACCCTCCTGATTCTAATTTTTCAGTCAACTCTTAGGTTTTAGTTTACAAATATTTGCTCTTTTTCTTTGATGCTCCCTCACCCCCAGCCATGTTTGATGAAATGCTTGAAATTTTACCTACAAACACTATTTCAAACACTAACATTGGCAGTTAATTCATCTGGAACTCAAACTGAAGCATATGAGAAACCATGCCAATTTTTAAAGGGAAATATGGAACATTGTTCAGACTGCTTCAAGAACAATGGACTTTGTTTGTTGTTTGGGGCAAAGTCCACTATTGCCTAAAAACTATTTCCATTACATCTGAAGTCTGCTGAACTGAAAACTATAACACCGAGGGTCTAATGTATGTGTGGGTACACATACATACACCTACTTCTTCCTTATTTTCAGGCAGTAGAAGATATATGTAGATGTAGATCTACTTAGATCAATACATTTTTCTGTAGCCCCTGAATCATCATCATCATCATCATCATCATCATCATCATCATCATCATCATCTCACTTCACACTGGAATCACTCCAGAGCAGAAATTTAAATGGAAAAAGACAAAAGGGGTTGTGTCCTTACCAATTAAACAATCAAAAGGCAAGGAGGTACCCTCGTGTACTGTCAGAGGACCAAGGTTATAAATCAGTATATCAACTTTACCAAACCAAAATTTGGGCAAATTTTGAACTCCTCAGAATTTTTCAGTCAAGATATTACCTGATATGAGAGCTTTGGATTCTAGTAAATTAATAATACAGAGATATTATAATATGGGCCTGAGAATTTGATACATCTTAGAGCAGCTTTCCCCAGTAAGATACCCTCTAGTTTTGTTGTGGGGAAGATTATCCTATAGGTTCTACTGTGGCAGAAGAAATAGAGGCCACATGCAATTAACTGCAATGTAGTTTTACAACACTTGCCACTGGTGATAGACTTTTCTTACTCATCACTATGATGTACTATGTAACAGAGATGCTCCTGAAATTAGAATATTTGTAAAAGCTAATGAATATATGTATTCATCAAGTGGTGTAATGTATGTATCTTCAACCACAAGAGGTTATTTGTGATAATGGCTATTCTCCATTTTATATCACATTTTAAGAGAAGGCAGAGAGGTCTGTGCTCAGTTTCTTAGTAATCTTTATGTTCTCCCTCTTCTTCATTGCAGACCAGTGGAGACAAATACCAGATTCAACTCTTTGAGAAGGGTGACTTTAGTGGTCAAATGCATGAATCCAAAGAGGATTGCCCTTCTGTGATGGAGAAGTTTCACTTGCCAGAAATCCATTCTTGCAAAGTTGTGGATGGGGCATGGGTTTTCTATGAACATGCCAACTTCCATGGCAAACAGTATTTCCTGGAGAGAGGCGAATACAGTAAACCCATGGAGTGGGGGGCTGCAACCCCACTGGTCCAGTCCTTCCGCCATATTGGAGAATAATAAGTTGCATGGAGTCTGAAGCTGATGTGATAGAGACTTGATGCCATATTTGTGGGCTTCATGCTGCCTGTCATTATTTGTGGTATATGTGTCCCTTTGAGTGATCCTTTAAAGGAGATGACTAATCTCTGCACTGCTATTTTGGAAAGATAATTAAATTTATTTAGCATCAGAATTGGAGTGAGCCTGTTCCTTTTACCTTTCGTTGTATGTCCTCAGTTATGGTTTAGAGAAAAGATAATAATATGGTTAAAAATGAGATGTGTGTGTGCGTGTGTCTGGGATTTGTAGATTTCATTAAGGACTTCCTTTCCTGTATAACTCAAGCACTGGTTTAGTAGATACAAGAGTAAACAGAATCACTCTGAGGAAGCTTTTTGAGATGCTCCAATTTTCTGAGCACAAAGATCCATGAAGAAGTTGCTTTCCTTGGCTATGCCTTTCATATTGGCAGCTCCAAAGTTTCCATTTTCTTTACGCTTAACAGATGGATATCTAGATGTACTACACAATCCCCTTTTTCCTATACACTTTCAGCAAATATTAGGGAGGACAGAAGAAGCCATTTGAAAAAAAAAAACATAGGGCAGCTTTCCCCCTGATGGTGTCCTCCAGATGTATCTGGAAATCTGAGGCTTGAAAGATCACCTAATATGGAAATTCACAGGTTGGGGCTTAGCCAAACAGTAATTTTATGTACACTAGTTAAATGCAGAGAAAGTCTAAATAAAAGATAAACCCTTACTTTTAGGATATTTCTTTAGTCTCTGCTATTGGAACCCAACATCTAGACCAGTGTTTTTCAACCTTGGCAACTTTCAGATGGGTGGATTTCAACTCCCAGAATTTCCCAGCCAGGCTGGGGAATTATGTAACTCTGTTACATACACTGATCTAGACAGTAGTTTGGGATGTCATTATTAGAAAAACATTTTTTTTCCCCCTATCTATACTAGCTTTTTGAAAAAACAAAAAAACCCTCCAGTTCCTTTTGCCAATAAATACTTCTTGTCCACATACTGGGGTGGGACAAAAACTTTAATTTGCCATTTGTCTCCTTTATTCTGTAACATAATTTGGAAAATAATTTCATTTATTTCTTTAGGGAACATTGTAAGCCCACATAATTCACGTAATCTGCAGCTATGTTATCTATGGTTAAGCTATGGATGATAATATCTTCACTGCAATCAATACAATTACAGCTGCTTTGTCCAATCAAGGCTGGCCATTTTTTATCCCCCACCCCCACCCCCAGTCTATAGTTTCATTATTTTTCTGTCCCACATAGATGTGCTTTGTTTCTTTGCCACCAGATGTCATCAATTTTCTTCTTTCCTTAACTGGAATAATTTATGAAATGTTTGGGTAAACTCATTCTGTTTTCTCCTTCCCCCATATATTATGCCTCGAGTTCTAGAAAATAACAAATGTCAATTTTGTTGGTCCATTTTCTGTGCTGGGTACTCCAGGGAGCCTATGCATTTTTGCATATCAAGCAAGAGAAAGGGGACTTTTGATAATGATATTCTGCATATGAACTGTGCACTTCTATTCCATGGGCCTTGCAGACTCCTCTGATTTGATGTATGAGGTTATTAGGGAACTATGTGATGCTTGTCAGGAGCTACAACAACACAGCTCCTGTGAAAACACTACTGATCAGGGACAGGCCAAGCAAGGAACAATCCATGCAAGAGAGAAAGACTGGCAGGGGAGGAGAGATCGGAACTAAGCTTCAGTCTTGCTGAAGGGTAGGAATCAGTGGAAGTACTGTTATTGTGTTAATCTTTAAATTGCTACAACCACAAGTCTCTCCGGGCATTCTCTACTTGCATCAACCATGATACAGTTATATTCCAGAAACCTCCTTTTTTGGCAGTGTCTGTGTGAAGTGGCCTTCATCTTGACCCCAACCCATTCCTAGGCAGCTTAAAGTTGTACTTAGCTATTCTTGTGTTTAACCTCTTAGACAGGCAAAAAGCCAGGGTAACTTTTTGGGTACACCATGGGTACAATCTGACCATTTTATTGGGGTTGTAGCCAGGTGATCCTATGGCATGAGATCAACCTGACATCTATTGGCCACTCAGGCTAGTACGGACATGTTCCTTCCCTCCAATCCATGGGCAGAAATTCTGCTTTGATCAATGGGAGAGACTAGACTTTTCAAACTGTTCTCCAGTGAAGTGGGAGTGAAAAGGACAGACCTTTACTACTTCACAGTGCAACCCACCCCACACCAGTCAGCTATTGTTCAGGTTGCTTTGAAATATGCATTTAATGCACTTATGGAAGAGTACTAAGCCTGTGTTCAGCTCCTTCTGGACAATAAATAAGGACAACACCATTTGACAGCATTGTGCTTATGGCAGGATAAGGATTGGCAGTAGGAACAACAAATGTTCTGCCAGCTCAAGGACTAGTAATTGCATTTTAAATCTGCTGTGATGAAAGCCCCTTTGTTTCTGCTGCAATAGACTAACATGGTTGACTACCCTCTGAAGTTACAATAATTCAGTGGATCCTAGCCTCCAGTGATGAGGTGAAATGAAGTAGGCCATGAGAAAGGGTTTGCTGGCAATTAAAGTGAGGACCAAAATGCCTGATCAGATGGGTGATAGGGAACAATTAACCCAGGGATGAATAACTTGTGCCAACTCCGTAGCCTCACATGAAGTCCTCAAAGCCCTTCCGAAATGTGACACTAACTTAATTTTAATGTGACAGAAGTGGGGTAATCATATTAATGGTATTTACTTAATTTAATTAACAATAAGTTTTGCCCCAGCCATCTCAGGTTTTAGAATGGTCTCTGACATGTCAGTTAAAGGACAAGTGGAATACTCAGACAGAAAAAGGTTGCCTACCAGTGTTTTATACCATGATGTTCAGTTGATTTGAAACTGGTCTAGCAACTCAAGATAGATCATGTAATATGTATAAAGTGTCTGGGCTGGATTAGAAATATCAACTTTACTCTCAGCCACAGATGAGTGATGAAAACCTTCTGAATTTTTCTACTCTATCAGCAGTCAGCAAAAATGACAGCACCATTTTGCCAAATATATTTCATGTGGGAAGAGAACATCTCCAACAGCAGTAGCACAACTGTCTTCTTTCTGACTCTGTCGGGAGCCTACCCTCCATTTTGGATCCTCTTCCATACCACAGATATAATATGGGGCGGGGATGGCGGATGCAACTATCTCAAGAATAGAAAAGGACTCAAAGTATTCAGCTTATATTTTACAAAAGATTCCCCATTTCAAGGACAGGATGAAAAAGTAGGAAATTGCATCACCTCTTTGCACCTATGAGCCCTTTTGATCACTAAAGCAAATGGTGAGAGATAAGGGGAAGGATCTTCATTGGTGTTCCTATATCTCTTTGTCTTCTGGCCTATTTTTAGTTAAATGTATCTCTTAAACAGAGACAGAAGTGAACTTGTTATCTTTCTCTCTCTTGTGCTTCTCTTTCTTCAAGATACATTTTTAAAATCTTCATATGTTTCTTAATAAATCTAATTTTTTACCTGAGATATAATGAATTCACTGATAGCTGACTAAGTTCATACTCTTCATGTAAGACAACCATATTATGAGTATTTATAAAGGGATATATATATTTTTCATCCTAGCATTTTTCCCGCAGGTGCAGGGTCCACTTTTTTTCAGATCAACCGAATGTTGATCCATTGGTTGTGACAGGAATTGACCAACTGGCTTGTTGCCCAAGCTGACGTTGTGGGCCGAGAGACAGTGACCGGCCCAAAGTCACCCAGCTGGCTTTCATGCCTAAGGCGGGACTAGAACTCACAGTCTCCTGGTTTCTAGCCTAAGGCCTGGCGCAATATGGTTCATGGGGTCACGAAGAGTCGGACACGACTTAACGACTAAACAACAACAACCTTAACCACTAGACCAAACTGGCTCTCATTTATAATGGGATATTCTGCTACTTAATTACTCACTCTTCTTTCAGCAATCTGCTTATGTTTATGAAGATTCTCAGTCATCCAGGTGGAATTGTCTGGAGGTTGAGTCATGCTTATGTTCAGAAGCATATCCTGTAATAAAGCTCTGCTGAATTCAAATCTCCAACAAATGGAAAGTTTTGAAAAATGTGACTCATATGAACTACTTCACACTTTCGAAGGATCAAGTTGAGAAAATGTTGGCTTGCTATATCTGCATGAGTAATTGACTATGTATGGCCTTAACTAGATAGTAACTAGATAGTCCAATACACCTTGCCTTTACTGTACCTTGATGAAAAGGACATTATTCTATGGGAATAATAATAACTCCATTAAGTTGATGAATTTACATATCATACTTTATAAAAGTAAATAGCCAGTCAGTCAGCCTGAACATGGTAGACAAGTAATAGTGGCAACTAAACCAAAACTGAATTTGGCAAGATACAATTCTATAATTTCCAGTTGGAAACACAGGAAAAGTGCTGTGAAAGGGTTTGTTGTCTAGATTTACCTTTTTTTTTTGTCTAAAGAATCTAGAGTTTAGTTTTGTGACATCCCTTTTTTAAAACTTTCATAAAATTGCAATTGGGAACCAGGGGAAGTCCATTATTTAGTTTGCCAAGTTTGAGTTAAAGCTGGTAACCAGAGTAAGATCTCAGCTAGAAAAATGCTGTTTTCTATTTTGTACTGTTGCTGTTATGATTACTATAACTGCTCAACATTCTTCTAGAAGCCCATGATAGCATACAGGTCTTCCCCTTGCTATCTTTTATCGTTCCACCAATAATCCTAAATATTAGGTTGGCCTAATCTCACAGTTGAGTGTGGATGGGAATCCAGGCTTCTGAGGCCTAGGCCAAATTCTCTAACTCATTCATCCAATTCAAAATTGAAAATGAAACTGTTACGTCAAATGGACTTCTGTTTGAGATTTGGGCATTCTTAGCAATTTGTGTGGAATTGATTGATTGATTGATTGATTGATTGATTACAGATGAAGCTGTTTTGTTCATCTGGTTTCCAGGGAAGCAGCTCAGCCTTCCAATGTTAAATGTGAAACTGCTTCGAATAAAGAAGATTACAAATAAATCATGATTACCTAAAGACCTGCTACACCAACTGCAGTCTCTGCTGACCAACCTGATA